TGCAAGGTGATATTGGACACTGTTGAATCTGCAATCCCAGATGGCCTGCCTGAAAGTTTTGCTTTTGATTGTAAATTGCTGGAGACCTTAAACAAAGCTGTTGAGTTACTTCCAGAGCTATGGAAGCTTGCTTATACTCCTCAAGAAGCAATTTTAGCCTATAGGCGGGCCCTCCTTTATCAGTGGAATCTTGATATAGAAACCAGAACAAAAGTAGAAAAGGACTTCGCTATATTCCTCCTTTATAGTGGTAATGATGCTTCCCCTCCAAATCTTCGTGTACAGATGGAGGGTGCCTTCATACCTAGAAACAATATAGAAGAGGCTGTTCTACTACTACTACTTATTCTCCGAGAATTTAGCCTCAAAAGGATTGGATGGGATCCATCAATCTTGAATCACCTCTTTTTTGCATTATCTATAGCAGGCGAATTTCAGTCCCTTGCGTATCAGGTTGAAGAGTTGCCTCCTGGAATCATTGATGAAAAAGAAAAATACAATTCTTTAGCTCTGACTTACTATGCGGAAGGTGACAATGTGATTGCTTTAAATCTGTTGAGGAACCTATTGAATAATAGAGAGATCCATAACTCTGCTTTTGAATTATTATTGGCTTCAAAGATTTGCACAGAGATTCCTAATTGCCTTGATGAAGGAATAGGATATGTTTACAAACTTTTTTCTGAATCTGATGGGAAATGTGACGAGATCGCTAGCGTTGCAAATTGTTTACTCGGTGTCTCTCTTTCAATTCAATCTAGAGGTGTTGGTTCTGATTCTCAGAGGACGTTGAGACAATCTAAAGCACTTGAGGCCCTTGAAAATGCACAAAGAATGACGAAGGAGAAAAATGTTTGTGTTTTGTATCACCTAAGTCTAGAAAATGCCGAACAGAGAAAGATGAATGTTGCTCTTTATTATGCAAAACAGCTTTTGAAACTGGAGGCTGGGTCTAGCATAAAGGGATGGATTCTTCTTGCTCGTATTTTGTCAGCTCAGAAAAGGTATGTAGATGCCGAGAACATAATTGATGCTGCTCTGGATGAGACGGGAAAGTGGGATCAAGGAGAATTGCTACGGACTAAGGCCAAACTGCAGATTGCACAGGGAAATTTAAAGGATTCAATTGAGACATATACTAAACTTCTTGCTGTCCTTCAAGTCCAGAGAAAAGGTTTTGGAATCCAGAAAAAGCTTTTAAAGGTATGGTGGTGACACATTACGAGCATGTCTGATAAGCTTGAAACTTTAACTTATAAGTAAATAAGTAGGTTTTAATATAAATATTTTTCATTTGTTGAAGTTGATAATAAGTTAATTTGCAATGAAGAGTGAGTTACTTTCCAAGTAAGTATTATTATTATTTTTTTAATTAAAGTAAAGAAAAAAAAAATATCCAAGCATGTTTGACATAAGTAACTTTTATTTACTTTTAAGTTTAGCCCAACATGCTCTCTCTCTTTCTCATTGATCTATCACTAAGCATTCCCTCAAGTGATGTCAATTTGAAATTCAAGGAAACTTATTCAACCTTAATACTTTATGAGCAGGAAAAGCAAATACTACAACGATATGCTGAAGAGCGAACTTGGATATTGTTAGGCTGTGTTTTTTTATTTTCATGTTCATTTTCATTACTCTAAACCTTTTTCAATCCACAGAACAGGAGGAACATTAACAGGAGTCTAGAAATGGAAACATGGCATGATCTAGCAAATGTTTATACAAGCTTGTGTCAATGGCGGGATGCTGAAATTTGTCTTTCAAAATCTGAGGCTATCAATTCACATTCTGCTTCTAGATGGCATTCCACAGGTAATTTATTTTATTTTATTTTATTTTTTCTTCAAATTTTTTTTTTTTTCCAAAAATTTGAACTGTCGTGTTAGTGTGATTGACAACTGTGATCCATAACTGTCCTCATGGTCATGGACTGCTTCTGCTTTATTGATTAATGGGATAATCAATTTGCAGTCTGTTCAGTCTGTTTCCTGGTGTTCATTGCCACGTTATTGAGTAATCTTTGGGTAGAATTTGGTCCTTTCTTGAGAACGAGTATGGAAATGAAAAAACCATGCATAGGGCCAATTGGGACATGGCTGACAAATTTCATTTTTCTCTTTCTTGTTTCTTCTTTTGAAGTGGCACTAGCTAAATTGAAATGTAAAATGTCGAAATCAATGGCAACAAAAATTCTTCCAAAAAGTTCGGAGTGGCCTAAAATTGTGAATCGAGTGGCACTCATTGTGGCACCAAGAAGAACAATTGTTTGCTCTTTTACCGTGCTCTCAGAGAAACTCCCAGAGAGCTCTAAAGGCAAAAACTAGCGAGCTTTTGAGATATCATTTCATCATGTGTAGAATCTCATTGTTTGCTTTATATTCTCATTTTCATCCTGAAAGATTTTTTGGAGTCATCGTCAACCGTGGATATGAGATGTTCTTATAGTGATAGTATTATAGGGGTGTATAGGGTGCTCATATTATTGTATTAGGTTGCCCTAAATTTTTTAGAAGGTATAGAGGAACTTGGGGGACCATTCTGAAAGATACACAAACTGAAAGTTGTGAGATCTCTGCTGTAAATTTCTCTTTATAATAGACATAGCTCTCATGTTGAGGGTGAATCACTCTAAAGCTCTGCATTTGTTTTTCATTCTTCTTGTCTGTCATTGCTTTTGAAATTTGGATTATGACTTAATCCATAACACGTTTTCCTTGGGATTCAACTAGAGGCCTTCCTTATGAAACACTTGAAATTGTTAATTCAAGGGTTGTTATGAACGTTTTCGTTCCTCATTTTGCCAGGTTTACTTTACGAAGCAAAAGGTCTCCACAAGGAGGCTCTCGTGTATTTTGGGAAGGCCCTCGATATAGAACCGAACCATGTTCCGAGCTTGATATCTACTGCTGTTGTTCTTAGGCAATTAAGTGACCAATCACTGGCTGTAGCAAAAAGCTTTCTGACTGATGCATTGCGGCTCGAAAGAACAAACCCAGCAGCATGGTACAATCTTGGGCTACTCTACAAGAGTGAGGTTGGTTCAGCAATGGAAGCTGTAGAGTGTTTTGAGGCTGCAGCCCTTCTCCAAGAATCTGCCCCGGTCGAACCTTTTAGATGATGTGATTCAAAGTTGAGGATGTGCTTGCATTCAACCAAATCCAGGTTTATGGGGTGTTTTTGTCAATGGAAATCCTTGATGTAACTGAATTTGTTGATTCTTCTAGCTTATGAAGTTGGTATTTGGCGAAATAAGTGAATAATTGAGTACATTTTTATCCAGATTCACTTCTTTATATGCATTCAAAAATCAAGGACTTTAGCAAAAATATGACTAACTCTTCAGCACTTTGGCAAAGAGATAGATAATGAACCTTAAATGTGAAAGAAGCTACAAAATATGAAAGACAAAAACCTTGCGAAAAACATCATCAAATTTTCAGGAAAAAGAAAATAAGGCAATACTGAATTGCTATTGAATTTACTTTTTACTAAGATCAATTCCAGCCTTCTTAGCCACTGCATCAAGTCCATTCTTCTCTATGGTCTTGAGAGCTTTGGTTGACAATCGCAATTTGACATAGCGCTTCCCGGCTTCCCACCAAACTCTCTTATATTGCAGATTCACAAACTGCAGCCTCTTCGTCTTGTGGTTTGAATGGGAAACTTTGTTTGCCTTGTTTGATTTCTTTCCCGTGAAGGGACATATCCTACCTGAAAGTAAAATCGACTCCAACAGTTCAATACCTTTCTGTGGGAAATCAAGAAACCAAGCAGTAAAGCCCATAATATTCAGAGACAGAAGCTTAAGATCAAAAATAAAAATAAAAAATTCATCAACTGACATCATTAGTACAAGGAATCAAAGTTCTCAGCAAGCACATTTCAGTCATTTCAAATTTAATCCTCCTTAAGTTTTATTGATATTGCAGTGTGATAAAAATAAAGACTTTTCCCCCTTTTTACTTCGCCTTGCAGTGGCAAGGACATTGACTGAGGGAAGACTATCAGTTAATGCTCAACGATCCGAGAATGTTTACCCTTCACATTTCTGTCCCATCAAAATAGAACAAAGTGCTAGACAAAGGGAATGTGAAATTCATTCATATTTCATGAATTTTAATCATCAAGGAAGGATCTTTAAATTTGTATTGGTTCATTATTATGATAATCAAATTCAAATAAATTCCAAGTCAAACAGTAACTTCGATTGCTTAAGAAGCCTTATTCTTCAAATTGCAGCAAGAGAAGGTCTCTATTCCACCTTATGTTTCATTAAGGAAAAGTAAATTTGATACCAGACATAACAGAGAATTAAATAGCAGAGACCAGAAGAGAGCTATAGAAGAAAAGATTGCATCAATGATTATGTCAACAACGACATACTAAGCCCTGTTCCTTACAAATTTGGGTCCGAAAATGAATCCTTTTTCGTCATCAATGATTATCAAATTTTCTGTTTGAAATTATTGTCTCTGCAAGCAAGAAACCAGCCATTTTTGAAGTAAAGCAAAAGAATAACCTTTTAAACTCGCATCTGCTATTTTATTCCAATATTTGATTTATGATTTAATTACGATGAAAATGAAGATGCACCTAAACAGGCATAAAATCCAGTAAAGGGATTAAAAAATTCAAGAATTAAACTCAAAAGAATACTATCTTACTGCACCTGCAAACTTTCTATCCTCCCTTCCACGAAGAAGGTACAATCAAAGGAGCACATGAAAACATAAATCGTAGTACCTTGCTCTGGAAGGATGTAATTCACGCGATTTTCCTTTTAGATCATTCAATAAGTTTTAGCCTCCTCCCAAAAAAAATAAAAAATAAAAAATAAAACCCCTTCCCCCCCCCCCCCCCCCCCCCCCCCAAAAAAAAAAAAAAAAAAAAATTCCCCCAAAGCCCCAAAACAATATAAGAAGTAAAAACTTATATAATCTGTAACATCACTCGCGCACACACAGATTGAGGGAAAAGAAATTACGAGCAACAGGTTGGAGAGAAGGCCTGAAAGGAGCAGAGATTGGGATGGAAGCAAATGTTTGAAACTGGGTCGTTGAAATTTTGATGCCACTCAATTGGGATGTAATGAACCCTAGCTCTGAATCCATTCTTGAACTCTTCATTGAAAATCTGTTCGAAAATTGGGATTTTGCTGGCAATCCAACTGCCATTGGCCGTACTGTAGCAATGAGTGTTGCCATGTTTGTAAAAATTCAATTTTTTCTTAATTTTTGCAGAAAATGATTGAAGAGAACAGGGGAAAATGGCGTTAGAGGGGGAGAGAGAGGGAACCGAAATGGTGTATGGTGGATAATGATCTTAGGTTGTTTTCTTCCAACCTATGGTTTCTGTTCTTTTAAGATATTAGCATTTTGCCCCTTGAAATTTTACTATTTTGAAAATATGCCCCAAAATTTGTACTTTCGTAGCTATGACTCGAATATGCTTTTCATTTGAGCCCACAAAAATTAACGTTTTTTTCTAAATTTAACGAGGGTTGGAGGCTTTTGTTTTTTTTCCCTCTAACTGAAAGAGGGGAAATACATAAAATTGACCCAAATTTGAGAGGTCATTTTTCAAAATGGCCCTTGACTTTTCCAAACATTTGAAACTACCTAAAATACCCTTAAACAAATATTAAAAACAACCTATTTCATAATAAAAATCTTCTATCTAAATCCTTAAAAAATTAACAAGTAATTTTTCTAAAAATTTGAAAGAATTATTAATCTTTATGAATAATTATAAAATGAAAAAGCCCAAATATAAGAGAGGACCATATAATATAAAAAAGGTTGTTAAAAATAAAAAAGAAATTGATAAGATAGGATATCAAGAACAATTATATGCATCACAAGAAATATTAAAGTGTTTCAAAGAAAACTTATTAGAAAATTTTGCTAAAGGAATTGTAAGATCAATAATCATAAAAAATATACAAGGTATCATAAATATATTAGAAAAAATGAAGAAAAATATCTTAAAATACGATATACCTTTTAGAACAGACATAGATATGATAACAGATGTTGATATTATAAATTCTCAGACATTACTAAACTTTGAAGAATTACTTAAAAATTTATGAGAAGAACAATAAAAAATAGATTATCTCAAGCATATAAAAAATTAGTTTTTAACCTAACCTTAAAATTTTATATATGCTTAATAACAAATAGATTAACTAAAACAAAAATAAAAGAATTTTTAGAATATTAGATTATTAGATTTTTTTATTATTAGATTTTTGTTCGCTCATAGTAACATCATCCCGTTGGTATCAGAGCCATAGAGATCATGAGAAAATATATAAAAATAAATTACCTAAAAGATATTGAAAATAAATAAAATTAATCATTGAAAAGATAAAGAAAAACTCAAAAGTTTATGATTTTAGAAATTATTGAAACTTATAAAAATAGACTAAGGTATCGGGTAAAATATAGTTCTAATATAGAAGGCCATATAGAAGAAGATAATATAGTTGGAACATATAGTAAAGACATAAAAGAAGTATTATAAATTTTTTGAGTAATTAAAAATTTACCTTTAGAACTAAAAGAAAAAATAATTAAAAAGATATTATTTGAAGAATATAAGCATATATATATATTAGAAGAAATCCAGAGTGAAATAGATTTCATAAATAATCTGAAAAAAAAATTGGAAATCATAAAAATAAATAATTATTATCAATGTATTGCAGAAAAAGGATGTTATATATTTTTCAACCCTATCCCTAATAAATTAAAAATAATAACATTATATGTAATTAGGAATTTACCTAGAGAAATAAAGGAACATATATTACATAAATTAATTGTAGGATTTATCAAAGATAGACGTACATGTGAAATAATTATCGAAGTATTTGAAAATGAATTATACCATAGAGAAATATTTGAATCATCATAAAAATATAATGGAAGAAACTAAAAATATTTTAGAAAGAAAGTTAAGAAGAATAAGATTAATAAATAATAAAATTTTAGTTGAATTATTAATACTTGGAGATATAGCTAAAATTCAAGAAAAACAAATATTAAAATAAAAACAAGAAAGGTTTAAAGAAAAATCAAGGTATTATGAAAAATTAAAAGAACTAACAAATATTGAAGTTATAAAATAAAAGTATGATCAAATGATAAGAGACTGTAAAAATGCTGAGTATATAGCATGTTATTATTGTCAATCAAAAAATCGATAAAAGAAAATGTCAATCAGTGAACATATGGAAGAATTAAAACATTTAATAAGAACATTAATAAATGATGTACAAAAAATAAAGAATGAAATAAAAGAAACAAGAAATGATATAAATATATTGAAACTCGAAGTTAGAAAATTAAAAAAAATAAAGAAAAGAATAATAGAATAGATAAAAAATTTATAGAAAAAGAAATAACCAGAATAGGGAAAAAACATATTGAAAGAGAAAATATAATAATAGAAACAGGAAGCATGGATGATGAGTTTAGAAAAAATATATTACCTAAAATATTAGAAGAAGAGGAATCTAGAGAAAAAATATTAAGTAAATAAAAAATTAAAGAAAATCAAGACAAAGAAAATGAATGAAGAATTAGATCTACTCATAGATAATTTTGATCATTTAAGTTTAGAAAGTATAGATGATGAATACCAAATCTTAATGAATATTGGAGGAGGACCTAATCCCGTAGGAACTTCTAAACAAGAATCAATAGATCCAGATAAAAGTTATGCTCCAATGTATAATAAATCATATAGACAATTTTATGATAAAATAAGAGATAAACAATCGTCTAAAGAAAATAAATATAGTAATAGATTTGAATTAAATAATAATTATGATAAACCTGTTAACCATGGAGGAACAAAATTAGACTTAAATTGCAAAATAGACACTAAGAAAGCCTTAATAACTTGGGCGACTTAATGATATTATTTTTTATATATAATAAAGATGATACATGGAAAAATACTGAAAGAAGAATAGATTTTTTAATTGCATCTTTTGAAAGAAATGTTAGAAATTGGTGGGAATGAATTAGTAGTAATACAAAATCATTAATAAAAAGAAATCTACAAACATAAATAATAAAATCAGATAAACTAGGAATAGAAAGATTAGTAGAATATATTGCAGATGAATTCTTAGGAGAAAATTGATTAAGAAATTATGAAGAAAAAGTAATACGGGAAAAAGATAATGCAAGAGTTAAGTTAATTAATTTAACAATTTGTGATATGTGTAAAATTAAAGAATATACTTGTGAATTCAAGGATTACTATTATACTCAATTTTATAGTAATGAGAATCAAGAAGTATATCAAGATATGTATTACAATAAATTATCAGGATCATGAGAAATATATTTTAAAATAGAATTTGAAAAATATATTAAAAAAAATATAGGAATACCTAGAACACTAGGATCAAGAATAAAATTCTTGTTTGAAAGACTTGAATATATATGTCAACAAATACAATTATTGAAAAAATCAGGAAAATTAACTAGAATATGTTGTGAAGATATGGAAAAACCTACAAGATGGGGATTCAATTCTGAAAAAAAAATAAAAGAAAGTATAAAAACGGAAAGTTTAAAAAATATAGAAACTTTAAGAAAAAGTACATGAAACCCGGAAGGAAATATTATAAAAGAAAAAATAATATACAGAAAAATAAACCTTATAAGAAAGATAAAAAACAATGTAAGTGTTGGAATTGTGGAGAAATAGGCCATCTAAGTCCTGATTGCACAAAGAAAAAAGTGAGAACATTACAGAATGATTATTTTGAAATAGAAAGTAAATTAAGTGAAATATCTGATATTGAACATTATAATAATCAGGAAATATTTATAAGTGAAGCAGATTCAGAAGATAATTGATCAGAATTTAAATAGAGAAATTGAAGAAATAGAAAATAATAACATAGAAATCCAAGAATATGAGGGAATAGAAGGTTATGGATTAAAAGTAACTTTTGACAATAATAAATTTAAGAAAATACAAAAGTTATCATTAGATTTGAAAATAGGAAAATAGAAGTAAAAAACATAGTGAAAAGATCCAATATATTTATTTAGCAGAAATACAAATAATGTTTAAATCTTTATTTAGGGAAGGAATAGATTCACCATTAACTGTAAGTTTACATGATGGAAGAATTATAAATCTTGAAGATGGTCATTTAAGAACTATAGAAGGAAATTTAGCATATCAAAAGTTAATATTTACTTGTTACCCAAAATATTGTGTCTCATTGAAAGATAAAAACTTTAATGAAGTCTTAGAATTACATTTCAAATTACATAGAAATGATATAATGAAATCAGGAGATCAAATTATGACTACGGAATATAGGGCATTATATACATTTACTAATTCTAATTATGGGAATATTTATTCCAATAAACCATACATAGAAATTCATAAGGAATGCAAGGATATTAGTAGAATAGTGGAACCAAACAAACAAATAAATCTTATTCCAGAAGAATATGAATTTAATATAACTAAAAATAAGCATGAAATAATAGAGTTAAGAGAAGAAGAAGATTATAAAATAATATTTCACAATGGAATGTTGATAAAGAAATCAAAAAGTCTTAGATTACCTAATAAAAAAGAATATTTGGGAGAGACTAGTGGTATAAAAAAATAAAATCTCATGGAAAAATTGGAAATACGAAAATAGAAGGAAAATATTTCAATGGTAGAAGGTATATAAAAGGACCAAATATATTGATAGATACAGGAGCTGGTGAATGTCATATGGCTGCAAATAAAAATGAAGGATTAATGACTTACAAGATATAACCATATGAATACAGAAATTTTGATGGACAACTATATATTACAGAATTAAAGGTAAAGATACCAGTAAAAATAGATGGGATTGATCTTTTAGTACCATGTTATTTGGATGAAAGTTTAGATATTGAACCTCATATATTATTAGGAATGAGTTTCTTAAATGGATTAGAAAATTATAGTATAAAAAGAGAAGAATTATATATAATTCATAAAGGATAAACTACATTATCTAAAATAGGAAGTGGATGAATAATCAAATAAGTTTTCCATTGGCAATATATATACAAGTTACTACAGTAGAAACAAACATAACAACTTGTGCCTTAATTGATACAGAAAGTGATATAACAATTTTTAAAAATTTATTAATAAAATCATGGAATAAAAATAGTAAGATAAAAATAACAGGAGTGACTGGAGAAAGTACTCAAATAATTGATAGTGCTGAAAAATTTAATATAATACTTAGTAGTAAACAAGTTATAATAAATAAAGTATACAATTATAATAACTTAGAAT